TTCATTGCAAATGTAAATCATGAAATGGGTTTCTCCCCTGATATTGACAATGTGATATTAACCGGTGAAACACAATTGAAAAGATTAGGAACTGATGCCCAAAGATGGATTTATGATACTCCTGATATCAGTTTCTTATAAGTTGCTAGTATGATTCAACAAATAGGTCGTGTAGGTCGTCTCAAACCAGGAAAAGCTTTTTTAACCACACAACAACTTGAAGAATTAGTCCCCTCTAAAGACATCGTTTATCACATAATCAACGCAATAATAGCACCAGCTAAAGAACTACCAATGAAACATTTAAATGATAAAGGTTATAAATTTACCGGTGATAAAGATGATCATGATTATCAAAATCTGTTATGGTCTTCTATCGCCTTTACAACCAAACAAAATCGTCCTGTAGAAGCTGTGATGATAGGTATGGTAGGTAAACCTAAAGGATCAAAATCATCAAGAAAAATATGTCCTACTTTTGATAATGATCCAAAACCAGACTTAGCAGATAAAAGTCTTTGGCATTATCATGTTGATGGTAGTCTACCACCTCCTGAATTAGATTTGAAAAATATGAAAAATATTCAATTCTTAATCGCTAAAACAAAATTGAGAGCTCTTGACCTAAACCATAACCCAAATGTTAACATAGAAATTAAAAATTCTCTAATAGAAAAAATTTGGGATCTCCCTCCTGGAAAAAACGATATCATTCCTGACAATAAAAAAAACATCATCATCACAGAAATGAGAGGAATAGTAAAAAATATCTTAAAAGAAAAAATAGACATAACAAAAATAAAATATAAACCTAATGATTTAGAAGATTTTAACACTTCTGTCAAATGGTTCAAATTTTTCGATAACATGATAATAGACGTTCAAAGAAAAATAGTAGATGGTGAAGTTCAAAAAGATTATTCCATTCTCATCACAGACAAAAAAATAACAATGAAAAAAACCATCACTGATAAAAAAACTTATCTTAACGGAAGATACTTGGATAAAGATGGTTTTCCTACCATGTTCAGGTGTGAAAATTGCGATAGGATGATGAAACAACTTTTCACCATCACGTTTAAAAATAATACTAGACGTAATTTTTGCGAAATATGCATCTCTAAAAATAAAAATATTACTTATACATCTATCATCGGTTTACATGAAATATAATATATCTGTTATTTTTTCTATAATAAAATGAAAATAATTCTTTTCATGTTATTATTCCTATCATTTATACATTACACCAATTTGACAAAATATTTTTATTATTCTGAAATATTAATCATTAAACCAATTCCTCCTAAAAACACCAATTCAAAATCAAATAAAATTAAAGAACTAAATCTAATATTTAATTCTTTATCTCAAAACATAAAAAAAATAAAATATAAAAATAATTTAAACATTATTAAAAATACAAACAAATACACTTTAAAAAATGATATCATAAATATACAAAATAGAAATAATATAAAAGATACAAATGATATAGAAAATATCAATAAGGAAATAAATAACAAAACTTGTCCTATTTCAATATCAGAAAGAATAAACAATGATAAAAATCAACAAAAATATAAATTAAAAAAAAAATATAAAATAATTATTTATTCAATTATAATAACTGAAAATATTATCTTAAAAAAAATATTGATAAAAATCATTCATCTTGCAATAAAAAAAATATTCCATAATTAAACATGGTTTCATACGTCTGTATGGGTTATTCTACTTTTGATATTTCACCCTTTAATTGTATAAATAATAACAATTTACAATATTATAAAATATCAATATATCCTGAAACATCACATATCAAAAATAATTTCAATTTGAATATTGAATCTAATATATATAATTTTGGAACAATAATGTGGAAAATTACAAATGATAAAGCAAAAAAAGGAAAAAACAAAAATATTAAAAAAGATAAATACATTAATGGAATATATGATTATGTATTTAATTTAGATAAAACATTATTTAAAAAAAATATCAGAGATAATTCCTTATTTAAAACATTAAAAATTCAAATAATGAATGAAATGAATAAAGATAAACTTTTAGATTCAGGCTATTATGATAAAATGATACAAAAAAATCAAATCAATTTGACCTCTGATTATACAAATATTCAAAACATACGTAAAAAACAATTAGAATATTTAAAAACTTATGATATTATAATTAATACTATTAATACAGAATGCATAATAGAAATTTTTCAAATAAACAATTTTATCAATAGACAAATAACAGATATTAATTATCCTACAAATCTAATAAAATTATTAGAAAAGAAAAAAAACGAAAGAATAACAGAATTAAATATTATTCAAAATAATATAATTAAATTAATCAATACAGAAAAAATATCAAATAATTTAAAAATAAATGAAAAAATCTATAATGATATCGAAAATGATAATTGCCTTAGTAAAGAAAATAAAATAAAACTACACAAAATAAGAAATACAAGAAATAAATACGTTTTAGAATATGAAGCTATACATAAAGATATTAAAAAAATTTCTGATATTTATGATTATAATAATTTTGACAAAAAAAGAATAAAATCATATTTTCCTGATGATTTAAAAAAAGATTTGTTTAATTCACTGGATAACAAAAAAAAATTCTTGGAAATTTACAAAGAATTGACAAATATCGAAAAATGGAATAAAGAATTACTGAATAAATTAGAAAATCATTACAAAATTACCATAAATCAATTTTCAGAAGAATCTGAAAGAGAAATATTAGAAAAATTAAGAATTAATGAAATCAAAAAAACTTTAAATTTTTTAGAATATGAAAATAAAATAAACAACGAAATCACAATAGAAAACTTGTTGAAAATTGATCGAAATTCAATGATTCATAATATCAGAAATGATATTATCATTGACCAATCACAAAAAAATATCTTAATCAATAATATCATACCTAATAAAATCAACAAACACATGGATGAATTATATGATAAATTATCGATATTGATAGATAATAAAACATTTTTCTCCATACAAAAAACAGATATGGTACATTTAATACTTCATCAACTAAAACAAGAACATTTAACTAATCGTGATCTAAATACCATATTCAAAAAATTCATGGATCGTGAATTAGAAAATGCAATTAATGATTACATCTCAAAATCTAAAATTCTTGATCTAGAAAATAATAAAAACTTGGAAAAGAAAAATGAATGGAAAAAATTAATCATTACAAATAGATTTATTGTTTCGAATTACGATACTTCTAAAAACTATTTTAATTATAAACTAAATAATGAAATATCATTAGATTACAGAGATAAATTTTCTAATAGTAAAAGGATAATCGCTACTAAGAAAAAAATAGAAACAAAATTCACTGAATACAATGAAAATTATTACGATTATCTCCTGAAAGAAATGAAAAATAATAAAAATGATATTGAAAAATTTCGAAATAATAATTATTTCGACAAAGAAATAAAATTATTAAAGGATGAATTTCTGATAAAAGAAGGATATAAAACTTCAAATCTACAAAATTTTAGAGAAGAAGTTTTATTTAATCATGGAATCTGAAAATGATGATGAAAACACAAATAATGAAAATAGTAGTAACGAAAGCGAAGATGAAAACGAAATAACAAAAGATTTTTTAACACCTGAACGCATAAAAGAAATTCGATTATGGTTAGAATTTTCTAAAAATTATAAATCATCAGGAGTATTCAACCGTTTATATGAAGATATATCAAGTTTAATAAATGAAAAAATATTTAAAGATAAAAAATATGCAAAATACGATCAAATCTTAAATAATTATGTATTACAAAATACACAATACAAAGAAATATTTGAAGATGCTTTATTAATCTCTGAAAGAATTTTGAATAATCTAGAAATCGAAGAAGAAATTGAAAGTTTGACTGAATCATTACAAATTATAGAAAACCATACTATAAAAACTAAATACCCTATAAAAGATAGATCAATCGAAAATAAAGTAAATAATAAAAAATTCAATAAAAGAAAATGGTAAGAAGAAGATTGAATAACAAACAACAATTCGATATATGGAAAAAACGAATCAAAACAGATATAGATCACAACATAAAAAATGATTTACAAAACTTTTTAGAATTCATTCGTAAAAATTTTTTTATTAAAAATACTAAAATAATAAAAAAAGAAGAGGAAATGTATAATTCTATAAAATTAATCTCTGATGTTTACTTACAAGAAAGTGAAAAAACCCGTATCAAAAGAAATAAAAGAGAAATAGAAAAGATAAAAATGGATTTGTTTTTCAATAATGAAATTAAAAAATTAGCGAATATAATCAAAGATAAAATAGTATAAAATATATAAACAATCTTGTTTTTTTCTTTAAAATCATGAAATTTATATACCTCTTATCACTGTTATTACTTTTATCAATTTTAATAAATAATTCATTCTGTGCTTGTGGTTGTTGCGGATTACAAGGACATAACATCGCTTCTTGCAAAAAAAAACCTTGTCCAAATCATCAATCTAATCAAAAAGTTCGTCATTGTGGGATCTGTGGAAGAACTGGTCATGATAGAAGATCATGTCTAAAAATAAATCATGGAAATTTTTTTTAATAATACTATTATTATTATCAAACTTGATAATGATATCAGAATCTCAGAAAAAAGTTAGGAGATGTACTATATGTAAAAGTCCTTACCATAGAAGAGACAAATGTCCTGAAAAATTTTTCATGCCTTTCGGAACAAATTGAGAAAATATCAATCCTTTCAGTAATGCTCTCGTACCTTGGGTTCCAAATAATGAAAGAAGTATGGTTTTATTCGATAATAAAAAAAATAATAAAATAATAGAAAATTGGGAACCTCAATGGATAACTCATAGAGTCATTAGAACTCGTCCTCCTGGTGGAAAACTTTGTAGTCATTGTGGTGGCATGGGTCATACACATAGACCAAAAGCAAAAACACCCAAACCATGTCTTATTGCTAACGTACGTCATTTAGACAACATAAAAAAATCAGTAAGAGATTATTTCAAAGATCCAAAACCATATATAAAATTATGTAAATGTTGTGGTGAAGTGAGTCATTCCAAAAAAAATTGTCCGATATTTCAAGCTGCTGTACGTGGTGGTGTTAATGCTGATGCTGATCCTCGAACTGTTAATACATGTCTTGCACAAGGACATTTTGATAAAATCAAGGAAGGTTTAGATAAATTCAGAGAACTACATGGTTTACGAAGAAAATTAATTCCTATGTCTATGTTACAACGAAATCAAAATCTCTTGACTTTTTAAAAAAAGATACATATATAAAATAAATTATTTAAACAAATTATATTTTTTTTTCTTTCAATAAAATAAAAAAAAAATGTTTAAAAAACTTTTTATAATATTCTTGTTGTTAAATTTTTCAATAATTAAAACATATTGTAATGCTCTTGTACCTTGGCAAAACAATGCTCTCACAGTTCGGACAAATATGATATTTAA